AAAATTACCATACTGAAATTAAATCTGATGTTTTGTTTTTTAATTTTTGTTTGGTGTGCATTGGAAAGGGGGGGTCGTCTTATACGGCGAGTATATCCCAAACTCTATATTTTGGCTGGGAAAGTTTGGTGTCGTCTTATACGCCCGGTCGTCTTATGCGCCGGAAAATACGGTAAACTGAATCCAGACAAAACAGAGGTACTCGTAATAGGTAACCCTAACCCGAGTATGGAGATAAGTTCACCAGTCCTGGGTGGGGTCATACTTCCCCTAAAGCACTGCGTTCGCAGTTTGGGAATGCTCTTGGACTCGTCGCTTCAACTGTCACCTCAGATTGATCCGACGGCTAAGATTGCCTGTTATCAGCTTCAGCCGATATGCCAGCTGCGACCCTACCTGGAGCCACAGGACCTAGAAACGGTTGTACATGCACTGGTAACCTCTCATCTCGATTTCTGTAATGCGCTCTACATGGAGCAACCCTTGTGCCACATTCGGAAGCTTCAGCTGGTACAAAACATCGCAGCCAGACTGGTTGCAGGAAAATCTAGGTTTGACCAGATTTTGAAATCCTTACACTGGCTACCTGTTAGCTTCTGGACACAGTACAAGGTGTTGATTATTATCTATAAAGCCCTACATGGCTTGAGTCCAGCTTACTTGAAGGAATGCCTTCTCCCATATAATCCTTCCTGAACACTCAGGTCCTCTGGGAAGAACTTACTACAGTCAATGAAAACTAGACTGGTGGTGACTTCCCAGAGGACCTTTTCAGCTGCTGCTCCTAAAATTTGGAATGACCTGCCGGAGGAGAGACTCGCCAGATTACGGAATAAGAATAAGAATAATAAATTTATTTCTAGCCCGCCCCTCTGCTAGGCAACCGGGACGGGGTACAACATACTAAAACAGCCAACAGTTAAAAAACATTCCCTCAACCCTCTCCCCGGCCCACCCCCCCTTAAAACTGAATTAAACAAGCAAAGATTAAAATACAATAGTACTATGAAATATAAAAATAGAATAAAAACAGGAAGCAGCAACAATACAAGGGAGAAGGGCGGCAGTCGCTCCGATTGGGCCGGGAGGTTATTCTGGGAAAACCTGCCAGAAGAGATCCGTCTTTACTGCTTTCTTAAAGGCAGCAAGGGTGGTAATAAGATGGATCTCGTCCGGCAGGCCATTCCAGAGTCTGGGAGCGGTTGCAGAGAAGGTCCTCTGGGCGGTCTGCAACAGTCTGGTTTTCATAGGCTGCAGCAGATTCCTCCCAGAGGACCAAAGGGCACGCGGGGGGATCATACGGGGAGAAGCAGTCCCTAAGATGAGATGGACCCAAGCCACGTAGGGCTTTAAAGGTCAAAACCAACACCTTATATCGTGCCCGGAAACTAATCGGCAGCCCTTGATGCTTCTAAAAAAGCGATAAAAACGATTCTCTTCTGGCGGGCCTTCCCAGACTGACCTCTGTCCTGATCTGAACTAACTGTCCATCTGATCTAGCTCCCCTAGACATTGCCTCTATTATTGTTTTTAATTAATTTAATTAAAAAACTATGGATGCTGGCCATGAAAGCCTACGACTTTTTAATTGTTTTTTAGTTATAGGGATTTTATTGTTATAATTTTATATTGAAGGGAGGGTGGGTCGAAGGGGTGGGGGTTCGAGGATTATTTTCTTTTTATTATTTCTGTAATTGTTTTAATCTTTGCTGTTACCCGCCTCAATCTTCAACAGGGAGTGGCAGGTTACAAATAATTATTATTATTATTATTATTATTATTATTTTCCTATCAAGGCCAGTAAATATTTGGCCACGTAGGATGGCTTGAGGAATAAAAAACAGCTGCCAAGAGCAAATTACTGTTTATCCTCAGGACCTGGTGGTAGGTGGAAGTCGTAGCCACTCAGCACATACAGAGCTCTGAAAAATTTATCTTTATCTAACTCCCAGAATCCCCCAGTTGTAGTCCAGAAAGAGGGCTTTTCTTTGAGTGCTGTGGTCTAGGATGTCAGCTACAAAGGCCTGCTGGCGCAGTGGTTAAATGCCTGTACTGCAGCCACTCAGTCATAGACCATTGCGAGTTCAATACTAGCCAGGGCTCAGGCTAGACTCAGGCCTGCATCCTTCTCAGGTCGCTAAAATAAGTACCCAACTGTTGGGAGGCAATGAGCTTACAGTTGTAAACCGCTTAGACACCCCATAGCGTGATATGAAGCGGTATATAAATCAAGCTGCTTTGGTACAAATCCTTTGTGGGAGAGCATGTCAGTGCCAGAAGGAACGAGAGGGGTGGGCCAGAAGCAACAGCAGCATGGTCCTGGTTGAATGACACAGGTGTTTTTTTCCCTCACCTCTCCACTTGCAGGTCCCCAACTACCTCCCCTCCATCAGCGCTGCCATCGGTGGGGACACGCCTGAGCGGTACGTCTGGCGGTTCTGCATTGGCCTGCACTCCGGTCCCCGCTTCCTGGTGGCGGTGGTCTACTGGGGCTACTACTGCAGCTGCCACTGCACTCACCCCCGTTACCACTGCCTCTGCAACATGGCCTTTGCCCTCAACTTGCTGGAGAATGTGGCCCTCCTGCTGCTTACCTACATCTCATCCTCAGAGAACTACCGTAAGTGGCTGCCTTGGGTCCTGGATGTTGTTGCTTAGGGTAATGAGCTGGACCTCAACCACTAGGCAGATTGGCTTCATAGAATTATAGGGTAGGAAGAGATCCCCAGAGGCCATCCAATCCAACTTCCTGTCATGCAGAAACACACAAAGCACCCCTACAGTTGGCCATCCAGCCTCTGTTTACAACCCTCCAAAGAAGAAGGTTTCAGAGCCCTTGTGAGCATCATGGCCAAATGGCAACAGTTGTCCAGTGGTGTGAAAGGGTTCGTTTTTATTACTGACTTCATTGGATGCTTTTTTCATTTGGTTGGCAGTTTGAGGCTGGAAAAAGATAGGAAGGCTGACAACCAACTGAGGGAGTTAACATAATTTTCTTCTGTTGTTAATTTGCTTCTGCACTATTTAACCTTGGGGAGCCTATCTTCTATTGGCCTCAGCCCATGGGGAGGCAAAGTGCACCCCAACCCAGGGGTCCCAAGTATGTCCAGCAAGAAGGATTTAGTGTGATTACTTGCTCAGGGGTAAGTGAGTCGATGTGGGACACCAGTGGAGAAGGGTTGGGGTGTTTCTGCTGTATACCGTCTGCTGCATCATTTGCCACTGATAAAACTTAGATAATAGCTAACATGTGTCACTGTTTGGCCTGGGAGACACCTGGAACTACACCCAGTTCTGGAGCAACACACTTGGTGCCATCCTTGTTGATTTGATTATTTGAAGATTTGATTAATACGTTCTCTTTAGGAATCTGTAGGTTCTCCAATGCAACTCTGTGGCCAGATCTCCAGAAGTTGCGCAGGTGGACATATAGATTCCTAGAGAGAGCACAGGTTGCAGAGGTCTGGATGTCTTCCAAAAGAGGCTGGACAGCTCCCTGCTTGGGGATGCTTTATCTGGAGATCATGCAGTGAGCAGGGCTCTGAGGGCCCCTTCCAACTCAGGATCCTAATAATTGTAATTGTTCTTATTGTGTGCCTTCAAGTCATTTCTGACTTATGGCGACCCAGCCTAAGGCAAACCTATTGTGGCTTTCTTGGCAAGTTTTTTCACAAGGGTTTGCCATTGCCATCCTCTGAAGTTGAGAGAATGTGATCTGAAATGTATGGCAACCCGTTCACAGGGTTTTCTTGACAAGACTTATTCAGAGGAGGTTTGCCATTGCTTTCCTGTGAGGGTGAGAGTGTGTGACTCACCCAAGATCACTCATTGGGTTTCTATGGCCAGCCAGGGAATCGAATCCTGTTCTCCAGAGTCCTAATCCTACACTCAAACCACTATGCCACTCTGGCTCTGTCCTAATAATAGGATCCTATTATTTGCCTGCTGCCTCTGTATGGGGCTGGGTGCCAAGATCTGCCTCCCCTCCACCCTGTCTTGGAATGGCTTGAACCTTGTGGCTATTTCCTTGCTCACCACATGGGTTGCTTCTTCTCTTGTCACCACAGTCATCCACGAAAGCGCCTTCATCCTCTTCATCGCTTCGGCCCTCAGTCACATGTTCCTGACCTGCATTTTGTGGCGAATGACCAAGAAGCACACAGTAAGTCCTGAGGTACGGTGCCCTTTTTGTTTGTCTTTTCTCTCTCATCAGTTATCAGTCAATCCCTTAATTTTGTGTGTTTCTTTGTTTGAAGCATTTGTCTATAGCAGGGGTAGGCAACCTTTTTGAGC